TTTGTATTTCTAATTGTCTTTTTTCATACAAACAGTAATTTTAGAGTACTCTTCAACTGCATACATTGCAAAAAAAAAAAAAAAAAAGTCCTCTTTTAGGTCTCTCTCCATTACAGCACAGGTAAACATTGTCTATCTCATTCCTGTTTCAATCTAATGTAACTATAAAAGACAGGTCCTGGAGGAATGACTGAGAAACAAAGGTATTCGGCTACTGATCCACAACCCAAAAACATTCATCATCTGCCCAAAATGATTGCCTACTCACGATAGGTTAGAATTGGGACAATGAGAGATTGATGCTCCTCGTTCATGGAATATGTTAAGTTCTTCTGCAGAAAGGTAGCAGCCATGTGCCATCACTGTCTGGAGAGAAGAGTACCCACTTAAAATGTTTAAACTAATACTTGCTCACAGAACGACATCATAGAAAGAGAGAGAGAGAGTTATGGGTTTGCTGCCTCCATCATTAGTAGAACATGATAATTATCTGTAAGAACAAAATCCCTAGGTAGAAGTTAGAGTTTACAGAAAGTCTATAAAAACATCAGATTGCAAACATCTCAGTCAATTTGTGGGCCTTGGTTTTTTTTCTTTTTGTTGATTTATAAAATAATGAGAATCAGTCCAGATGATTAACAGCATTCATCTGTTAAGATATTCATCCAAATGGAAGATAGGATTCTATCATGTTCGCTGTTTTAGACAATGATCTAGTTGCTTTCTTTTCTAAGTATACCATGTAAGCTACAGGTAGGGCTGTGTTTGGACCTATGCTAATTAGAACATTCTAGAGATAAGTCTTCCCTTCTCAATACAATGAAGCCTATAAGAGTGATCCTTTAAAAGCTAATCTTTAATTCTGCTTCTAATCTGTTCCTAATTAAAAGACTAGTGACAATGGTCTTGACATACACAAACTTTAACTCAACCATATTTACATTTTCATAAAAATTAGGGAATGTGATACTTTTCTTTGGAGAGTGTTTTTTCTATAGGGTGTGTGCACTCGCCAGAGAGAGAGAGAGACAGAAAGTGAGAAATCACTACCCATGGGAAATGGCCACACTGCAATCCCTTCTCCTCCATTCTCTTCTAGGGATTTTGGGCATGCATGCACAGGTGTCCAGCATGAGTTTAAGCTGCCCGGACTGGGACTCAAACCCCGGTCAAGTGCATGGGAGTCCATCAATGTAACCATTATGCCATCTGCTGGTCCCAGAAATGTGATACTTTATAAGCATTAATTCAAAAAGAAAACCAGTCCAAGAAAGTAGGCACTGTACACTATGAGACTTCTCTAAATTTGTAGTCTTATTAATATTTGTGAGTTTCCTTGAATAAGACTTTACTATTTCAAAATTTTTCCTCAGTATAAAACAAGATTAAATAGTTTTTTCCCCTGGGAAACATGGTTCAGTGACCAGAGAATTCTCATTTAAATAAAATTTTCCCTACCTCTATGCAAATAAAATTAACATGCAAATTAAAGGTTAATTTATTAATCGTATGGAAATATATGTAAAGGAGGATGGAATAACAATGTAGCATTTACAAGATTTATGCAGATTATTAACCTTTCGAACCAGGTATATTAATATCTTCATTCATATATCCACCAAGAAATTATTTGCAGCAGTAAACTCTTCATACAGTTTGTACATTTCACTGATAGCAAGATCAAAGGGTACATTATTGTAATGAAGTCTCTCTTCACTCATATTAATTTTAATTAATTATAAATGTAATACTACGTTGTTGGGAAAGTCATAATGCATTCTTATATAGAAAAATATAGATAAATATGTTGTGACTTTCCCGATGACCTAATATATACTCAATTTTTAAGAAAACAATCTCAGAGTATTTAAAAATAAAAAGTAGATGGGGCCAACAGGTGGTATGGTGGTTTAGGTGTTGAACTCCCACCTGGCCAACATGGTTCGAGCTCCAAACCTAACAGCTTGCTTTTTCACTCTCTCTCTCTCTCTCTCTCTCTCTGGTGAGCACTGTGTACTATAACGAATTTAAAAAATAATAATAATAATAAATAAAAATTAAATGAGTAATTCTTTAAAAAAAGAAAAAGGAAAAAGTCTATTCTTTCTTCTTCAGGAAGAGTCATGTTTAACTTATTCAGTGTATCTCTTTCAGATATTTTTTTCTAAGTCAGAATGTACCTTCACATATAAATATATATATCACGCAATATTATACATTGTTTCTTAGAAGCCCGTATATTTCTTTCGTTGTGAATGTTGGTTAAAAGTCTAATTATGTATATTCTATGTTTCAACAAATCTCCACTGATAGCCAATTTTTAAACTTTCATATATAATTAACATCTCTATTCATATTCCTTACAGAATGAACCCTTAGAAATGCACATGCTGACTCAAAGGAATGCACATTTACATCCTGAGGGATACTGTCAAAATGTGCTTGGAACAAATGACACTCACATCCTTGAGGAAGGCTGTAGAACTATTCACTTGGGTGAAATCTGAGGCCCATTTAACTGCACTCTAACACACACATGCACTCTGGGCATTACAATAGCTTGAGAAATGCACATGTGTCAAAGAAGTCTAAAGATTACTACTGAGGTTTTAAAGTTTGGATAAATATACCCTACTTTACATAGATTATGTCATGATAAACAATTTACCTTATTTGTCAGAAGATCATTTTTATCATACACATCTGTGTAGTTTTTATAACTGGGGTATAAATTTTTCACAGCTTCAACTTCATCACGATTTTCACTTATATGGCTCTACAAAAAAGAAATATTAATTTCAACTTCTGTAAAATGCCATTAGAAAGTATATATCCTACCTCAAAATGGTGTGGATGGTTTCTTTTATACTGGCCTATGGAAGGGACCACATAGAAAGACATTAAAGGTTGTACATATGTCTTATTGTTTACATTATATGTAATTGTATACATCATATATAGTGTAATTGACAGAGGCCAGGTGGTGACCCACTGGTAATGCAATTAGACCTACATAGGAAAGGTTCTAATTTTACATCCTGAGGCTCCTTGAGTACATGAGATGCACACATGTGCCCATAATCTGGTTCAGCTGAGATTGGCAGTGGCTCATGTAGTGGGGACCATGGTAGGGGTATCTGTTTCTCCCCTTCTTATGGAATAAATAAATAAATACATGTAAGGCTGAGGCCAGCAGATGGCATAGTGGTTACATTGCTGGATTTCTATATGGCCGACCACAGTTCAAGTCCCAGACTTAGTGTCTTAAAAATCACTCTGGGCATATGTCCATGTGTGCCCAAGATGCCAGGAGGAGAATGGAGAAGGGATTGTGGTGTGGCCATCCCCTCTGGGGGAGTGATTTCTCACTTTCCCTTTCACTGTCTGTCTCTCTCTCTCCCTCTCCCTTTCTCTCTGGTGAGTGCATGAACCCTAAGGCAAAAGCTCTCTAAATAAATCATCAAAAAAATAAACGTATGGCAAAGAAACAGAATACCATGAACATATAGTGTGTGTGCGTGTGTGTGTACTATCAAGACAAAATTTTCTGACAAAGTATTTTCTAATACAAACTAGAGTACTCTTTAAAAAATCAACAGCCAAGCTATTTGTGCCAATCTGCATCTTCTGGTGTTGGCTGTTTAATAAAAGAGTTTAATAGCCATCAATGGGATAGACAGGTGGATTCACTCTTAAGGAAGCTGGAACTTGAGTAAAGAGACCTGAGCTTGAGCCCGGGTTCTGTCCATAGTGTTATATCTTAGAACAAGTTAGTTCTTTATTTTGGGTCCTCACAGTCTCATCTTTCAAATAAAAGGGTTTCCTAGATGAGTGACTTTCCAAATTCTTTTAGCCTTGGATACATTAATCATACAAAAATTTACAGAAATTCAATATTTCTGTGAATAAGCAAGGGTCCCTCTGGATGAAGCAAGATTGGGACTATGAGAACCTGTCCCCGTACTGTTTCTTTTGTTGGTGTTTCTTCTGCAGAAAATTATTTGAAAATAACTGAGCTAGATAATCCTTCAGTCATCAAGCAAGAGTCCATAAGAATCCACATCAAGCAAAACAAGTGAGTCCTAGGCCTTTCTCCAGGGCAACAACAACAACAACAAAATCTAAGAGGGTTGAGAAACAATATTTAAGAATAACCATCTAATCCCTAGTCTAAAACAAAAATCACTCTAGGACAATTGGTGATAGGTATGTATTATGGAAATAACATATGAGCAGATTAATATTTCTTAGAACGGTGATGCTATTCCTCTCTTCCCATGACACAGAATACGCATAGCCAAATAAATAAAAGGAAAAAAATTACAAAACAGAAAACAGGGTTGCCTAGATGAGTGACTTTCCAAATTCTGCTTAGATGATGAGGTCTACCCTTGACCTTGAGGAAATCCCAGACCATTGATGAAATGTACAGACATAGGAAGAGAAGGGACAAACATGATTCTTGTTATTTCGTTAATCATGAGTAAATGGACCTAAATCTATACACAGTGCTCAAGAAAGGACAGACTTGATTTTGTTGTGTGTTCTTCTCATTCTATTTTTTATGTATTTAATTTCTTTTTCAATTTTTTAAAAAAATTGCAAGAAGGCATGTATGTTTGCCAGAGACAGAAAAACAGAAAGAAGGGAGGAAGCACCCTCCAGCGGAACATGGTCACGCCACACTCCCTCTCCTCCATTTCTCTGTCCTGTCAGGATTTTGAACATGCACACACATATACCTGGCATGATTTTCCATTTTTTAAAAAATTTTTTGGAGTGTGTTTTTGCTAGAGGGCATGTACACTCGCCAGAAAGAGACAGGGGAACAGAAAGTGAGAAATCACCCCTCGGGGGGATGGTCACGCCACCGTCCCTTCTCTCCCATTCTCCTCTCAGGATCTTGGGCACACATACACACATGCCCAGCATGAGTTTAAACCACCAAGTCTGGGACTCAAACCATGATCGACTACATGGGAGTCCAGCAACATAGCCATTACGCCAACTGCTGGTCTGGCACCTGGCATGTTTTTTAAGCCTCCAATGCCAAGATTCAAACCATGGTTGGCCATGTGGGCTCTGGCTACCTTAACCTCTAGGACAAGACCAACCTTTCATATATTTTAAAATACTATTTATACTTTTTTTTTTTTTGAGAAATAGAGCATTCTGTTTCAAAAGTAGAAACATCATCTAAATTTTTAATTTTATCTCCAAAAGAGAGTTATATGGATTGAATTAAAAATAAATATAATAGACTACAAATAAATAATAGGAAAGATGAGAATAGTTACTGAGCCCTAAGACTAATCTTTAAAAAAAAAAATGGAAAACATCATCCTAAAAAATGGTAAAAATCAACATGTTTCTTTGACCCTACTTGCCCTTTTGTATAAGATAATCATCTCTTAAGAGGAGAAATTTTGGTACAGTATATAATTAAGCTTGGATGGGGGAAAGGGACGTCCCAATTTTAACCCAGCTGTAAGCTTTAAAAAAGTATTTTATTCCTGAATTACAACAACTTAATGACAAAGTAAGATATAGTTTTTTTGTTCGTAATTTTAAATTAAGGAACTCGGAACAAAAGGGCTTTTAATGCATTTTTGTAAGGTGCAAATTAAGTTCTTTCTACTTTTCAAATAATTGGTTCCTCCAAGAATGAAGGTATAGAATACCAAGAATGTATCAAATAAAAGAGGACTAGGAAAAAAAGTGCATTAAATATATCCTACAGAGAACAGGTCACCTGTCATTGATCTCGCTGTTACTTTTAATAGTATCCTTGCCTCTTGAAGACTGACCAGAGAAGATGAGGGTAAAAGGAACTTTGGTTTCCTCTCTCCACAATTAAATCATATTAGATGTTGTCTATAAAGGCCTTTTCAGCTTTGTAATGCTATGATTCTAGGGCATCTCAGTAAAAGAATTGGAGTTTACTCAGAAGAATTGGAATTTATTGTATTTATGATTTCGGGTACTGAGAAATCTTGCAGGTCTGGACTAAGAAACAAACAGAAGAAAAATACCCACCTGAATGTGCAGATCACGGGTCTTAGCAATGTTGCCAAGTTCACCCATCAAAGCTTCAGAGCAGGAAAGAGAAAAACGTGGTGTCACTATGGGCTTCACTCTAGGATACTGGAGATAACCAAAAACAATTGATAAGGAAACTATGGATATCACAAATATGCAGCATATCCCAAAATGAATACATGTTATAACAAGAAAATTAGACATAACCATCTAATTATGTCTAATTTGGGAGGGGTGGCAGTCCCCCATTCTAAGAGTTGGCGGAAGTGCTGGATTTTATGGAAACAGTTCAGGTCTGAGAATAAAGGAGAGTATCTTTTTCAGCACCAAGTTCAACTGAAAATCCTTTCCCATATGATAGATGCTCCCTGCCCCACATCTTAAGGTTCAGATGAAGCTTAGGTTGGGTGACCTTTGTGAAGGGAATTAGAGGCTAAGAACAAGTCTTATGGGAGAGCACTGGGGAGACCAGAATGAAGTGGTGGCCTGTCCATTTCACTACCTCTTGTGGACATGTGCTGCCCATATCCACACACACACACAACACACACACACTACATTTTCTTTATCCATTCATCCACCCACTGACGTCCATTGTGAAGAATGCTGTGATGATCATGGGGGTACAGAGATTCCTTTAAGATACTAATTTCATTTCTTTTGGATATGAACCCAGAAGTGGGATTGCTGAATCGTATGGGGATATGTAAATGAAAGAGTACAAACTTTAAGTGGTAAGATGAACAAATTATGGGGACATAATCTACAGCATGAATGATGATGGATACATTAGTTCATTTCATTGCCATAATCATTACACAATGTATATGTATTTCAGACCTGCATATTTTACACCTTGAATATATATAGAGTTGGAAAGTCATGACATGTTTTTCTATGCAAAGACGCATCAAGACTTTTCTGATGACCCAATACAATCTTAATTTGTTAAATAAATATTTCAAAAGAAAGCCTGACTCTTACTGAGCTGAATTGATGGCTCCACTGTGAAAACGGTTTAAGGTCCTAAGCAAATACTTCTTTATACAAAGAATAAGCCAAATACACACAGACTAATCTCCATCAAACAACTTAATAATGAATCCTACAACTAATGCAAAGAAATCCATTCAAGCTCTGAACAAATTTACTTACATTCCTTTGAAGCATTTCTGACACAAATCTGCAATAAAGCAATAAATGGGAAGTTAGAAAATTTAAACATTTTCAAATAAATGTTTAAAAAGGGTGAAAACATGATCCTTGCATGTCCTAATTTCCATGCACACATTTCAAACACTATGCATCTTTCATCACCACTAATTAAAGGTTAACAAGTAGTAATTACTTGCTTTCTCATCTGCAGCCTGAGAAAGAGTACAAAATCACAGGGAAATGGAATGCCATCATCTAGTATCAGTTGGGCTGCTCATAAGCATTCCCAGAGTATTCAAGCTGTTCTGTTTGGCAGAAATTATGGTATGTTATGTTCCATGGATATTAGAGTCGTGGAATCCTATGTACCAATGTGTCCAGAGGCCATGTAACTCTTTTCTTTTAATCCCTCTAAAATGGAAGGTACTCGTTCACACAATATTGTCATTTATTTCCAAAGGTGGGGTTTTACTGTGGATGAATGCTGAGAGATGCTAGGCAGCCGGAATAGACCAAGGTGCCTATGAAGGAATAGACCAAGGTGCCTATGAAGAGTACAATTGGGCCAGCCCATAGCCTAGTGGTTAAGAAGGCTGGACCTCACATGTCCAACTACACAGCTGGAGTCTCAGACCTGGGACTTGAGAAATATGCCAAGTATGTGTGTGTGCATGCCTGAAAGGAGGGAGATCTGGAGGAGTAGGGATTTGGTGTGACCATTCCCAATGGGGGATACTTTCTCCCTTTCTCTTACCTCTCCCTAGTGAACACACATGCCCTCTGGCAAATTAAAAACTAAAACAGAGTACAGTGAGTAAGAGGGACACTGATCCTATCAGTTGCCACTGATCTAGTGGCAACTACAAAGACAATGAAATGGCTACTTCTGCCCTGAATAGAAAAGTTTGCTAGCTATAGCTTCCTGCTTTCTGATAATCCTCTGTTTAAAAATAAAATGTGAATTAAAGTTTACCATGACCACAAAAAAAAAAAAAAAAAAAAAAAAAAAAAAAAAAAAAAAAAAAAGATCAACAAATGAACGGAGCAAAAGGCCAATGCTAAGGAGAATGTGAATACTCCCTCCTCTGCGAGCATATAGCAGCTCCTCTTTTCATTCTTAAATGTACATACACATTTAAGGCAAGGAAGGCCTAGAGAGTGGGAAAAAAAAATTGAAACTCTAAAACTTGCATCAAGATAGGTTTGGTTTAGGGGAAGATTTACATCTGAAGAATCTTCCACATTTTTTGGGTGTTTAGTGAAATACAGTAAAACTCCTCATCAAATCCTCAAGGTATTATGAAAAAACTATTGCAGAAATATAAGAGAAGTACTTATATTATCAAAAGAATACTCTGATATGACATGAAAAGAACATGATGAAAACTCATGTTCTGAAGCAGTAGTATAACCCACAACCAAAAGCAATTTAATGAGCGGGTCACATGCATTTTAGAGCATAGCCATTCTCTGGGAGAAGCCTGGATCTATAATAAAAGACATGGAGAGGGTAAATTGGTACTTTTAAAAATAACTTTTCCTTTCATAAAAGCATTGACATCTAGGATTCCTATGACCAGTTTCTGGAGACCTTAAAATACAATCTGATATTGGCATGAACATTTTTTTAGGAACAGACCCATTTCATCAAGTTGGATACATCAATACAGTTATACTGGCAAATAGGAAGCATGGCTTAATGATTGATTCGTCTTTCACCTTTAATTCATGAGAGGGAGTCTCTAGAATGTGTTGATATATTTTGAGCTTCTGAGGCCTTTTTTTGTGTGTGTGCTCCAACTGTGTGGGATTAGGGAAGAAAAGTGAGAGGAAGGATGCTAGAAACATCAAGAAAAGCACTATTATTCCACAGTAGAAAAATCATAGATAGTTGGAGTCTCTAAAAATAACCTCCCCAGCTATTTATACCTTACAAAGTCTTTATTTAAAAAAAGAAAAAGTTCCCTTGTGAATTTAAAAGTACCCTTTCAAAATATATTTTATTTAAAAAAAAGGATAATTTTCTACTCAACTATTATCTAAAGGGGATATGAATTAGAAAACACAAATACACATGACCACACACCCCACACGTACTCCTATTTTTAAAAACTGTTTTCTTGAAGTATAATTCATATATTCCAAACTTCCCCGTGTTAAGTAGACAATTCAATGGTTCTGGTTTTTCTGAGTTGCACAACTGTCATCATAATCCAGTTCTGAACCTGCTCCATCACCCCAGGTAGATCCCTTGGGCCCATTTATAGTTCACAGTTATTCCTACCCCCAGGCCCAGACAATCTCCTATCTATTAATAACTCCTGTCTCCATGGATTTGCATCTTCTACACATTCCATATAAATGACATCATGCAAAGTGTGGCTTTATGTGCTCACTTCTCTTTCTTAGCATAACGTTTTCAAGTTCACCCGTGCTGTAGCATGCGCCAGTACTTTGTCCCTTTTCACAGTAGAATCACATTCCTTGCATACCATATTTTGATTTACCCTCTACCACTGATAAACATTGGCACTGTGTCCACAATTTGGTGCAGGGCAGATCCCCAGATGGTCCTGGTAACCCAGCTCTTCTCTCCCTTTCTTGCTTGTAGTTCTCAGAAAACTAAAGCAAGTGCTGGAAATGTAACACCCTGAGGTAAGGAGGAACTGGCCAGAACAGCATGAACCTGGTTCTTATTCCTCCTAGAACAGTAGGCCCTGCAATGCTTTAGCTCAGGGAGTACAGTGCTCCTGGGTGTAAAACTCCAGGTGGAACATGATTTCCAGGTGCCTCACCTGTGCTGCAATGTGGGGCAGCATGCATAGACAAGACTCCAATCCACCTTGGACAATTTTCCTGAGCCTTGAATGAATCCAAGGCTTCCACTGTCCCTTGCTGCCTAGCTGTCAATAATAAAGCTGCTTCACTTAACTAGTGTGAGTATTCTGTCTTACTGGATTTGTGCAAGTGGATTGACAGTGTTGCATGGTATCGGTGAGGTGTTTAAAATCCTCCCCTGAGATTGATACCAGTACACAGTGAACGTGCTTCACATGTTTCTACAAGGAATGCACTACTAATCTTCATATGCAAGTCTTTATGCAAACATATGTTCTCATTTCCCCTGCACACCCTACTTTTATGATTCTATCTGTACATGGTACCTTATGTAATGAGGTGGAGAACTTCCCAAAGGAGGTTGTCCTCAATCTCTGGTGAATTCTGCTCTGTATCTGCTAGCAGCTGCAGCAGGGGCCTCATCTCTCCCATGGTCTCTCTCTAGCTTGTGTGTCAGCATGGAATGTCCGCAGAGCCTATACTAGGGGGTCCCGTGAGAACTCATATCCTGCGAGCACACAGATACGGAATGAAGGCAGGAAAAGGAACCATGGCCTTCACTCCTGTATGTGGGCACTTCACCTTGGGAAGGTATTCTTTTGGGTCACATTTGTGTGGAGAGGATACTATAGCTATTAGCTATGTCATGTATTAGTATGTTATAGCCATTCAACATATGACTAGAACAAATCTTCTCTTCCCCTGGTAGGACAAGATAGCAGAGAGGGATGTTTATATATACTGCCTTGGAAAACACTAAAAGGATACAGCTTAAAATCTCAATACTAGTAACTTTAGATGATTTGGTTATAGAGAACATTTTTCTTCTTTGTACCTTTTTGTACCTCCAGTTTTATACCAGGGAGCACATAATACTTTGGTTTTTATTTTAAAGCCTTTTTAGTGAAAGGTCTTCACTAAATGTAACTCATTTCCCCCTAACTTCTTAGATAGTATTTTATTCCATACATTATTCCTCACTTTCACTATTTTAAAATATACACACACCATAGCAAATGCTCTTGCATGTTACACTGGTTTTTCTCTCTCTTTATTTACCTTGAACAACAAGTGGGATCTACGCTATAACAGAAAGAATTCTGAACTTAGAACTCTCCATTCCTGTCTTTAAGTCCCAGCTTTGCGACTTTAAAGCTGTGTGACTGTGGGTAAGTCACTTAGCCCTTGCCTCACTAGTAGACAAGGCAGATCCTCACAGAAATTTCTATAGAAACCAAATGTGACAATACAGAAAAAAAAAAAAACTCGTTGAAACATTAACAACTAGCTATTTGATTGCACTCGGTGCAGACTAGTTCCATTAAACAGGACATTAGGAACCGCCACATGCCTGTCCCTGGTCACATAGTACCTCATTTCCTCTCTCTATCTGCAGTCCCACCAGTGCAGCAGAACATCCCAACCACGAGATGCATCAAGACAAATGGGCATGTTACCTCTCTGTCTCCTTGACCGCCTCCTCCGTGGTCTCCTTATAGTCTGGAACAGTGTCATTCAGATCCATGCACACTTTGCCCACAAAAGCCCGCTGCCCAAATTTATCTGGAAAGCATAGACAAAAAGAATCAAGACAAGAGGGCCTGTCTCTTTCTCAAACGATATTTTGTCTGAGCCTTTTCAAAACATTTTTAAATCTAAATATCTTGAAAAATATAAGAAGACTGCAAAAGATCATCCATCATCACACTAATGACAAGCAATGGCAACAACATATCCCCATGAAGTTCAGGAAGTAGTAAATGTTCTTACCAACACCAATTACTTCAACCCACCACCAGCCTCCTACTTCCGGCCCGGTCACATAGTGATGGAGTATTTCTTACTTATTACTCAGCTTTTCCCATGAATTATACAATTGATTTATATATTAACTAAAGAAAAAGCTATCTTTGCTCCCATTTTATCCCATAGTAAAGAAGGAGACAGCCTTAGATCCTAGAGAAACACTCTGTTAGTCCTTGACATACCCACATTCTGTTTCTTCTCTTTCTTCCTCTCTGTTCCCCCACTCACAATCTCCCTCCTACCTCCTCCTCTATCACTAGCCCTGGATTGCCTCTCCCTGCATGATCCTCATGTAGATTAAAACACAGTCTGGCCTAGTGATGAGAACATGAGTGCTGCCATTCAATAGATTCCTTCTTCTTCTGATTACTCCTAATGTGGTAGATTTATTCATTTAAGGTCTAAGTCTATATGTGCCCAGTATCCTCTGCTATGTGCAGGGTTGTGAAAAATATGTGCTATAATGTATATGAGGGGTCTTTTCAACGTTTACAGAAAATGCATATTATGAAAAACACTATTCATGAATTTCAAATATTTTTGCACCAGAAGAAATTTATACTTTAATTTTATTTTTTCATAAATTTTTTTTGCTCTTGTTATAGGACATATGTGCTCACCAGAGACACAGAAAGACAAAGCATTGGAGAGGGATAGAAAGTGAAAAATCACCCCTGGGGGATAGCCACACTGCAATCCCTTTTCCTCCATTCTCCTTTTGGGATTTTGAGCAGGCACACACACATGCCTGGAGAGTTTTTCAAGCAGTTGGATCTAGGACTCAAAACACATAGTCAGCTATGTGGGACCCACCCACCTTAACCACCACACCACCAGTTGACCCCTCTGTGCTCAGGTAGAAAGTTGAACCAATGTGGAGCAATGTTAATTGTTTTTACTATGTCTCCCCCTCTGTCATATGAGTCTTTCACAAGTCTTTCTGTCTTTCTCTTTCATCTGTAATTTATGTTAATACCTGACCATTAGATTACTTTTCCTTAAAAATACCACTTTCATCATATAATTCAGTTGACTCAAAACCTTCTTTGAGTCTTCAGTGTATATTGGAGCCTCTTTAGATTGTGAACCATCCCACCTACCTCAATCTCCTCTCCCACTTCACCACACAATGAATCCTCTACTCCAGTTAAACTCCCTGGCTCCCTGCTACTGTATCATTAACACTGCTGTCCCCATCTGGACCTCTGTGTCATTTTGCCTGTCTGAAAGACATTTTATTCTCTTCCATTTTGTTTACCCCGAAAGGCCAGCTGGTAAACTGACTTCCATGAAGTCTTCCCACAGAACCTGGGTTCCCTTTACCTTCTCTGATAACTGCAATATTTATTTTTAGTGTTGCCCATCAGGCCTTTGTATAAACCACCTTGACCAGCATGTAGTAGAGTTGATGCTCAGCCAACAGTATTTAACGAGTTCCTGCTGTGTGCCAGGCACTGTTTTGGGTATGAGTTTTGGATCATCAACCTAAATAATGTCTCAGCTCTACTTAGCTGGGCAAGCTTGGACATGTTACTTTACTTCTCTGAGCATCAGTTTAAACATTTGTTACATGAAGACATCAATAACTACCCCTGATGGCTGCTTGCAGCTGAGCTAATTCACATGGAGTGCTTTGTACAATGCCAGGCATCTACTAACAGTGCCACGATGTCACTAAGCTTATTAATCAATATGAATAGGTATTTTCGCAGGTATTTTCTCGGGCTCTCCAAGGATATAGACTATCTTCCGTTTCTCAGTATTCCCAGCATCTTGCAGAGTGCCCTGAGTCTAGTCAGTGGGCGAGATGTGTCTACTGAGTATAATATGAGAAACTGTTGTCACAGATGGAATTAGTAAATTTGCCCTAAAGAATTCATAAAATTCAGACCCAGATGCATCATTCTGAAACCAAAAACCACAAGTAAATAATAAAATGACTTAAACAATAAAAAAAAAAATTCAAGGGCTACAGTGATACACAGTATCACTGTAATTCCTAAGTAATTTCCTAAATTACTTAAGAAAAGTAGAAAGAAAGAAAGAAAGAAAGAGAGAGAGAGAGAGAGAAAGACAGAAAGAGACAGAGAGAGAGAGAAAGAAAGAAGAGAAGAGAAAAGAAAAAGGCAATGCTCAAATTCTGGAAATTTCAAGAGGAATGCCCACAAGTATGAGACATCGCGAGGCACAGTCTAGCTGTCTTTGCTTGATGTGCCCGTAAGCCGTGCTTTCATCTGCTCACCTGTAATTTCCGCAAGGAGCAGAGATGAGTCAGTGTGAATTGTTCCAAAGTAACAAGCCGTGGTTGTTCCATTCTTTAGTGTTCTCCTCTAAAAATAAATCACAGAAACCATGAATTGTGTGTGCCCAGAAAAGTCACATGGCACGTATGGATGAAAATAGAGTTCTGGTTTTTAATATTAAAATGCTCTTATTTAAAGGTATGCCATCTTGATATGGAATATAGTTAGGTAAATGGCAAAAGGATTTATATTTCCAAAATGTTAGTTGGAGAAGAAATGGATATTTGTTATTTCCTAGAGTCATACAGTTCCGTGTTTCAGAATTCATAAAGTGTGATCCTAATCAATTCTTTCTTTCTTAGGCCTGTTTAAGGAAATCCCAATTTTATGACACTGAGGCATACGTAAATGAGATTTTTCTATTACAGAATAAAACTATTTGGCCAGACTTGTAGTTCAACCTGGCAGATTGATCTCATGTATCTCTGTTCCTTAGCACATTTCCACAACATAAGAGTAATGGGGTACAAGATTAAACCACAAGAACAACATAAGAGAAAACGCGAACAGAAGAAACATTTCAACATCTTGGAAGATAAAAAATGTGGATAAGAACCTAGAAACAACTTGAAAAGAGAGAGGAAAGCATATGAACATTAACAGGGAATTGGCTGAGTCTGTATAGAAATGATTCAGCCCTGGCAGGATGGTTCTTCTCCCTGTTGAAGTCTGCCAAGTACCTCTAACCTGCTCCTGGTAGGAGAGATTTACACCTTGTATAAATAGTATTTAGAGAAGCCCAAGCCCAAGAAGACAAGATAAAGAAGAGGTTTAAATAAAAAATCTGGTTGACATTCTAGGCTAGTGATCATCTTCCTCAGAATGCCACATGGAGGGACCAACAGTTAGCATAATGGCTATGTCACTGGATTCCCAGGTAGTCGATCGCAGTTCGCGTCCCGGACCTGGTGGCTGAAACTCACGCTGGGTGTGTGTGCATGCATACCCAAGATCCCGAGAGGAGAATGGAGGAGAAGGGATTGCAGAGAAAGGATTGCGGTGTGGCCATCCCCCCCTAGGGGTGATTTCTCGCTTTCTGTCTCTCTGTCTCTCTCTGTCTGTCTGGCGAGTGCACACGCCCTATAGCAAATAAAAAAACTCTGAAAAAAAAAAATGCCACATGGACAACTACCACAACCTCAGGCAAGAGGCTGAAGGATTCTTTCCCAGAGAAGATGAATGACCCTGTAAGGAGGATGTCCTCACAGTGATACGTGGGCCTACTATGAGAAGAGCTGTTCAATGACTTCACTATTCATCCCATAATGAAGTTCACCACTCAGCAAGGGCTACCTCCAACCAGATCTTCCAATCAATATCTTACAGCATCACAATTAAGTATGAATGCACATCAACATTCAATAGATGTCGGAAGAAACTACTATTAAAAAAAAAGAGATCAGCAGTTGGCATAATGGCTATGTCACTGGACTCCCATGTAGTTGACTGTGGTTTGAGTCCCAGACCCGGTGGCTTAAACTCATGCCGGGCATGTGTGCTTGCGTCCCCAAGCTCCCAAGAGAAGAATGGAGGAGAAGGGATTGCGGCGTGGCCATCTCCCCTCGGGGGTGATTTCTCACTTTCTGTCTCTCTGTCTCTCTCTGTCTTTCTGGCGAGCACACGTGCCCTATAGCAAAAACCTCTCCAAAAAAAGAAATAAAAGAAAAAAAACAGAATATTGCAGCCATAAAATGAGAACAGATGCTATAAAAATCATAGAATGAGAGCTCTTCAAAAGTAAAAATATTATAAATGAATATGAAAGTCAATAGGAGAGTTATAGCATAAATGAGAACAGCGTATCAGAAAAGAAAATCAGGGTTTCAAAGATAAGTAAGTGAGGTCCACTCTAGGGGGTCTGACATTTAGAATAAGAGTTCTAAAAAATACATTTTAAGTAAAGGGAGAAGAGAAAATTATTTGAAAAATAATATTAATCTCCAAACTGAAAATCCTCATCAAATTCTCAGCACAATGAATAAAAACAGAATCCAAGGTAAGGCATGTAATGAGATATTAAGCCCATAAGTAAAGATGCTAAAAACTTCCAGAAATAAGGAAAACTCGTCATAGACAAATGACAGGAATCACAGTGGCACTGAATTTCTTACTAACACTGCTAGAAACAGAATAATACCTTCACAATTCTGCAAGAGTTACTTTCATGTAGAATTTTAAATTATCAATCAAGTGAAAGTAGAACAGAGATATGATTAGATATTCAAAGCCTTGAACATTTTCTCTCCCATGAACTCTTTCTTAGGAAGCTCTTAAAAATTGTGCTTTTGCAAAATAAGAGTGATATAAAAGGAATTCCTAGATCCAGGGAAAGGAAATTAAACACAGAAGAAAGGGAAATGGGATGAACACACAGATTATAGTAGTATCAGAGAGAGATTCCCCATCAGAGTAAAACAGGTAGGAAAAAAAAAAAAAAAGAATGGTAGGAAGGAAGAGCCTCAAGAAAGAGTGTGGAACTGATACGGCCTGATCTGTCCCAGCACTTGGAAAAAGGACCCGTTGACTTGAGCACTTTGGGTTCTATCTTTAGAAGCTTTTTAAAATACAGAGGAAAACACTTCAGGTTCTTGCTTGCTTCTTGCCTGCTATTAGATATGTGAACTTAAGAAAATTGCTTTACTTTCTCCACATCAGTTCCCTCCTTATAAGAAAATTGCTTTACTTTCTTAACATCAGTTCCCTCCTTTGTGAAATAAGATTCTTTTGACTAAACAAAAGACAGAAGCTCTACAGGAATAAAATATTGGGTCATCAGAAAAGTCATGATGTGTTTTTCTATGTTTTTCTGTACAAATATGTGTCCTGACTTTTTAGACAACCCAATAGTTTGGAGTTGAAATAGTAGAGAATGGCCAGCCACAAAATGCAGCAAATAAGCACAGTGCTGGAGGAAGCTGGATCCCACATGGCCAACCAGGGCTTGAGTTCTGACCATAGAGGCCTGAGAAAAATGGTGGGCATGTATAGGCATACTCAGGTTTCTGACTGGATGGAGAACTAAAGAAAAGGGAATGTAACATGAACAGGCCTTGTTGGGAAGATCTTTATCTCTTTCTTTTATGCATATGCCCATTGACATTTTAAAAAGTCATTTAAAAATTAGGGTAGGGGCCAGCAGGTAGCATGTTGGTTAAAGGTGCTGGTCTCCCAGTTCAAGTCCTGGAACTGGTGGCTAGCTTTTTCACTTACCCTCCCTCTCTTTCTCTTTGTTGCTTTCTGGTCAAATTTAAATCAATAAATAAAGTTAAATAAAATAATTATTTTTAAAAGATAGGGTAGAACATGCACTTCACCTTAGACAGCAGTCTCCATCCAACTTCAACCATTTGTTGAAAACTGCAAATGAGGGACAGCCCCAGGGCTAGCCCAGAACACAGTGGTTCAGTGTTGGGCCTTTGAAGCTAGATCTCACATAGCCAGCTTGGTCCAGGTCTTAACCCTAGGGTCTTGAAAAACATGTTAGACCCATGTGCATACATTCAAAAAATCCTTATGGGAAGGAGGAATAGAGAAAAAAATATTTCAGTATTGAGAGTTCTCTCTTACCCCACCCATCCCCAGAGAGTGCATGCATCTTTTGGCTGAAAGAGAAAGAGGATAAAGAGAAAGAGAAAAGAAAGAGAAAGAAAAAAAGGAAGAAAATAAGAGTTAAGTGATGTCAGTTATTCCCAAGGTTGAGAGACTTGGAATCTGGATTTTCATGTCAATCTTTCTGAACTTTAATACATTTTGTACATGAAATATAATATACTGGCTGCCAGTAGAAGATGCTTAGAACATTTCAAGTTCACACAAGGATAATCTCTCCATCAAAATCACAAAACCTGGGTGAAAAACTAATACCATGACAGAGACACCAAATTCAATCTCCAGCAACTAGAAAAGTGTCTAGAACCTTGTATGCACACAGTGAATGTTTGTTGAATGGACATCTGAAGAAGCAGAATTATTAAAACAGCAAGAAAGAGAAAATTAACTAAAATCAGCTTCCTTAGCTTAATAAAATAAGATGTTGTGCTCTTGAAAGAGGAAACAGGCTATTCTAACAGCTGGATTGAACTAATGATTTACAAAATTAGGCCATGGCATTCTCTAAGAATGTAGCAAGAAAGAAAAACCCTGAGACACAAATGTATTGTAGATCCAGAAGTTTCAACATTTTTCTAGGAATTACCTAAAGAAAGAGTAGACTGGAGAAAAGAATATAGTCATAGAGAGAGAAAAAATTTTCCAGAACACAAGAAAGACAGTTTTCATAATGAAAGAACTATGTATTCAAGTCAATGATTTGAAAAAAGACCTATAATTGAAATTTATAACATCAAGAATGAAAAAGTCCTGAAGTCCATCAAATTAGCAACAAGGGAGTGAAAATCAGACATTAGCACATTAGATGCTGATAGGCAAATAATTCAAATAGAATTCCTCTACAGCTAATGCACCATTCAAGAGTAAGCACAAAGTAAAAGCACTTTTTTGTAAATCAAGAATTTGGAAATGTTTATGAGCCACCTGATTGGAAAGGATTATCAAAGACTGTATTCCAACAAAATGAAAAATCATTCAAAAGCAAGACAGTGCTCCAAATAGCAAAATAAAAATAAAGCTCATTGTTAAATTAAGTGTGGATGTTGGGACCAGTGAGTGGCATGGTGGTTAAGGCGCTGGATACTCCCACATGGCCCACCACGGTTCGAGTTCTAGACCTGGTGGCTTGCTTTCTTGCTTCTTCTCTCTCTCTCTTTCTCTCTCTCTGTCTCTCTCTGGTCAAATTTAAATAAATGAATGAATCAATAAAATTAAATAAATAATTCTTAAAAAATTAAGTGTGAATGCTAAAAATAAAGAACAAACCAGAACTAAATTAAATAAATTATAAAAATTTAATTTAAAAATTAAAACATTTTATATGAAGAATAACACATAAAAAATAAACAAACTGAAATCTCAGATGATACAACTATGGCAGTATGGGTAGAAATGAAAAAGGAAAGAAAGAGTACGTA